TCAGGCTCAAAGTCCCCAAGTAACCCAGTGAGGCTTTCTGAGGATCCTGCATGGAATTCTGCTCCTGGCAGACCTTTGCCCTGGCTCTCTCCTGGGTCTCCCAGCAGACACAGAGGCAGCAGGTCAGGCTCACCAAGTACTCGGAGAACAGACAGAAGGGTCGCGTGGGCTGCACTCGGACAGCAATGGTGCCCTCTTCTCCTGCAGGCACAACAGCCCCATGGTCATCTACGATCTGCAGAAAGGACAGGCACGGCAGGGGTGCTTTGGTCAGCTCAGAGGAACATCTGCTGCAGCTCAGTGCAGGGCACAGAGGGAGGTAGACAGCACTGCCTTGCTGTTCTACCCACGACTGCCACATACCTGCACATCGTAAGGGGGAACAGCTTTTCCCAAAGAGCCAGGTTTAATTTTCATTCCTTTCATATTGGCACAAATTGCCACCTGCAGAATAGATTTTTTTAAAGATTTTTAAAAATTGTTGCAACATCTTGTAAATTTTATTATTGTTTGCATTAGTCAGGACTCCTCTTTGTGACTTTGTTGTGACAAGGGTTGAATCGGGACCAAAGCACTGTGATTTTTTTGAGAACATAAGAGAGGGGTTGAGAGGCATTTCACATCAGACCTGTGTGAGCTTTGTTTTGTTGGATCTGAGCTAGTGGATTGTCCTGCAAACACTTGACTTTTATTTTGCAGGACAGCAGATTATTATTACAAATATTATTTCAATACAGGGACAATTAATTTGGAAACATTTCAAGGGCAAAATGAAAGAAAGCCCGAGATCTGGATCTTAATAGTTTTGTTAATGTTCAGTTACAGAGAAATCTGGGATGTGAGCTGGTTTAATATTTGCCATTAAAAACTCAGACAGGCCAAATTGATAGCTGAAGCAAATTATGTTTTCAGGGTTTTTTGAAGTAAAGATGATAACGGGATCTCCTACAACTTATTTGATCGGAATTGTCTCAGGCATGGTTTTTGCAGGGGTCTAAACCATTAGAACATGCAGATTGCTGATTCTGGAACTGTATAATTATAATTATACAAAGTATTTTTTTTTTTTTTAAACCATATAAGCGATTCTCACGTTTCCCATTGATTTATCAAGGACATAATGGCTCTGGTATTCTTACTGTTGAATGGGTATACTACAAGAATTAATGCAAACTTACTGTTTCGGTCTGGCCATAACCTTCATGGATATCCAGCCCTGTCTGGATTTTCCACTTCACCAACACCTCAGGATTCAGCGCTTCCCCTCCAGTTACACAGTGCTTCAGATTTGGGAACTTGTAGCTTGAGAGGAAGAGCAAACGAAATAATTCTCTTAACTCCTAAAATGAGCAGTAAGCAATCTTTACTAAACAGACTTCCTCAGCTTTCCAAGTACATCTAAGGCTGAAGGAAAGGCTGAATAAGAAGACAGAGCCTGAGCTCTCTGTTAAACCTGGGCTGGTTTTTGGCAGGATGAAAGACCTATGTGACCAGAATGAGTACCTTACCAAAGATGAGAAAACTCCTTACAAACCACTTCTCACAACCTGGGTATTTTACAGAGTAACAAACCAGGAAGAACAGCTACCAAATAACTCTCAGCGTGCAGAACTCCTCTAACTGCTCCCTTCATTCTCAAACATGTGAGAACAACTCCATGGTGCACCAGTAACTCCCTGATCCAATGCTGACTAAAACATTGACTGAAATTGAACTGTGAAGCCTAAGTTCAGAGGAAGTGACAGCTTAAAAAAAAAATCTTCCTTGTTTCCTCTGTGCTGTCTATTCAAAGACCCAGTGCTGAAGCCCAAGTAGCCTATGGTGTGGCTCATTCTTCTCACATTTGAGAACTGAGAGCCTTCTTTACTGAGAGCAAGCTTTGCTAATTAGGTTTCCTTGAACTGAAAAAGAGAATTAAGGAAGCTAAGGAACTAACCATACAGAACTGTGCCAGCATTATACCCCAGCCTCCCTCCCCTCCCTGCTGTACCTGCTCACATCATGTTTGACCAGCATGCGGAAGGCGGTGGGAGCTGTGCAGAAGGTGGTGATGGGATACCTTGAGAGAGTCTAGAAAAATAGGAAATTATTGTGCTGGACAGAAAGTAGAATGCTGGGTCTGACCTTGTGAATGTGCAGGTGATGAACACAATTTACATGCTTAAATGTCTGCAAGATTAAAACCCTAAAAATGCTGTACCAGGCAGTCCAACTCCTGCAGAAAAAATGGAAATTTCTGTCCAACAGAAGTCATTCATGTAAATGAAGGACCAGTGAGAACAGTAGTTCCAATTAAAGGTTTTTTGGGGTGTTTTCCAAAGTGTCTGTGTCCCAGGCTCAAACCTAATTGGTGATAGGGAACTATACCACAGGTTTTCCAGTATTATTCTTGGGAAAGTTAGAGTTTCTGCCCCACACAAGAGGCCAATGTTGAGGAGAATCATCCAGCCGAGTGGTTTTGAAAAAGACCTGGGAAGAGGAGTAGGCATTCTGGTACCTTTGGATTGCTTGAGATGTGGGGATTACTCACCTCTGCAATAACTTCTGGTTGAAACTGTGGCATATTGTGTACAAAGACACAGGATCCACAGATCCATGGTGAAAAAACACTGCTCCAGGCTGATTTTGCCCAGCCAGTATCAGAGGTATTCCACATTACATCTGAAGGAGTCAAGTTCAACCAATACCTGATGAAAAAGCAGAGATGGAAAAAACTTTCAGGGAAAGCAAATCAGTACCAAGCCACAGATTTAACTTTTAAGACATAGCAAAATGGCCCAAGGTTGCTCTGGTTCTCATGGAAGGTTGACCCAACATGAGAGCACTTGACTTCCTCTGGTGCAGCTGTAGGGATGTTTCCTTATTGCTCCTCTGCTTTCAGCCCTGCAAGTGACACAACTCTGCATGATGAGCGCAATTGGGCCCTCAAGAAGCTTTTAATAATAAGGGTTTTACCATGAGAAGGGAAAGATGAAGAAGGTGCAAATCCTACAGTTATGAAATGACTATATTTACCTGAATGCTATGGTTTCATGTTCAATTTAATGCTGATCACAGCATTTAATCAGGACCGTGGGAGGAATCACAAGGTAATACCTGCCAGTGGTTGCAAATCCAATGCCGTAACTGCTGTGGGAATGCAGCACCATTTTTGGGAAGCCCGTGGTTCCACTGGTAAAATACACGAGCATTGGGTCTTGACTCCTCGTCTTGACACATTTATGGTCAGCAGATGCAACCCTTCAGAAGAAATTACATATTCCAGTCACTACACACACTTTTCCACTAGGGAAGCAGTATTTTTATTGTTTAGGAGTTCAACAGGAAAGCTGCCCCAAATGATATGATCTTACTAAATCCATTATATATCACAGGGAAAAGTTAGAGAACACATTTTGCCTTACGCATACAGTATGAATCACAAGGCTGAGGAGCAAGAAGAAGCTGAAGGACCTGAATTTGGGTCTCAGAACCTGGGTTGCATGAATCTGTACTTAATGAAGTGTAATTACAATGCTGAAAGTTGACAGAGAAACGTAACTCATTTGTATTTTGAAAATTACCCCCACAACTCAGCAATGTCACCTGACTAATACAGCGCCCTTCACCTCAAAGATCTGGAAAGAA